TAATTTAATTAAGGCGTCTGTGCTACACCCACCGATTCGATAAGCAAACTGGGTAGATGATGACTCAGCCTCGAAAGATCTTTTACTATGATAATGATGAACCGTTCTTTCGAAGCATCGTCCAATCACAGGTGTGACGTTTATACCTCTAAATTCACAATATTCCTTTGGATTCTCGACTTTTGGTAAAGGATCTATAAGAGCAATTTTCCAAGAGGTAGGCCATGTGGATGTAGAGAGAGATTCATTCCAAATCTTGGTCATAACAGGTGCAAATACATCAGCGTTTTCTTTCAATAATGACTGTTTCACGCGGGCTATCTTTAAAACAGGGATCGGGGAATCAGGGAATCGGGAAATCCGGGAATCGGGGAATCCGGGAATTCAGAACTGTTAAGACGGGGATATTAACGTGCTTGCATGTTGGAAAACGCATTTGCTACTTTGTTTAGAATAATACAGACGATGAACATACAGTATACACTGCGGATCAGTTGTCTTACTATATAACCGCTTATGCTTATGATATATAGTTATATATGTATAACAGCGCTGTGCACATATGTGATTTTAATTGAACATATAATTTTATTAATTTCAATTAGACATTAGCGTCTATAGAATTTTGTTCCAACGCGTAAGTTTATGCATCATACAGGAAACGGGATAACACTAAAAGCCCACGCTTTTTATGTTAAATATTAAAGCGGGCGGGGCGCAATTCGGCGGCGACGAGGTACGGTTTTATTCACGGATACTTTAAGGTGCATTACTGTGGAGTTTAAAAACTCAAACGTCTGCTTAAACCAAATCTGCGCGATTTTTAGTTGTTAAAAAATAATCAAAAATCGGTTAATTTTAAAGTACTGTAAGTAATTTGGGATTACAAAGCTTATCCGTGAATGAAAACTAAAAATATACAGCGTCGCCGCCGAATTGCGCCCCTTGGCTTTAATATTTAACATATAAAGCGGGGGCTTTAGTTTAATGTTATCCCATTTCCCGTAAGATCTAGATGCATGCATTTTACAGTCTATTAATTCAAAAAACTTGCGCGTTGGAACACAATTTATAGACGCTAATGTCTATAATTGAACTGAATTAATAAAATTATATGTTATTAAAATCACATATGCATGTGCACAGCGCTGTTATAATCTATATAATATATCATAAGCATGAATTATTTAAGACAACTGATTCCAATTGTATACAGTAGCGAATGCGCTTTCCAACAAGCACATTCATAATATCCAGTCTTATCAGTTCTGGATTCCCCGATTCCCGGATTCCCTGTTTTAAAGATAGCCTTTCACGCGGGTTGGGGTAAAACGCTGATACGGACGGACGGACGGACGGACGGACGGACGGACGGACGGACGGACGACCTATCGCTCTTTCAAAGGCATATCCGCGTTTTATCCGATCGGGTAAAACGCGGATATGGTGTAAAATATGCTTTTCGGCGGGTAGGGATAAAACGCGGAACCGGAATGCGGATTCTGTAAGCGGATTCCGCAAATGAGGATAAAACGCGGATTCCGCATTTGAGGATAAAACGCGGATTCCGCAAATGAGGATAAACGCGGAATTGCGTAAAAAAGGACGAGAAGCAGAATAGTGTATAAAAAACTTAAATTATTACTTTTTAAGGTCACAACCACTAAAAAGCGATTGGCTAAAGTTACCTAGTTACCCTAGGCCTAACTGTTGAAGTCTCACATGCATGCATTAGTGTTGGGGGTGGGGGAGGACTGTGACTTTTTGGACTATTTCTTAAAATTATGGAGGGAGGTGGAAAATCGTATTTATCAAGAGCGTCTTCATTTTTATCTAAGTTTCTTTGTTAATGCTAGCTTTGTTAATATTCGGGCTTCGATGGCGCAGGCGTCAGAGGAAGCACCTTTCACCTCTGAGATCGTGGGTTCGATTCTCGCTACGGATTCGATGTGAAAAGAGTCTGTCAACGCTCCGCCAAAAGTCGTGAGTTTTCTTCGGGTGCAAATAGAGCAGAAATCAATTCAAAGTAGCTAAAATTACGACTTATACGCAAGACGCTTGTTGGGAACAGATTAATATGAACTTTGTGTCGGATTACTAGGTGTTTATGCATGGTTTTTGTCGTATTGCTAGGTGTTGTACGCATTGTAATTAAGGTTTCCTTTAATTTAATTAATCCTGCTGCGTTCCAGACTTTAGTTCGAAGTTCGAACGCATAATATGAAAAATATCGGGTAAATATTCAGTTGGACATTTGATCGCTTACACGCGTTTGCTAAAACATGAATTATTTTAGCAAAAGCAGTGTGTGAGCGAAAAAATGGAAATTTGAATTGATAGATAGATAGATAGATAGATAGATAGATAGATAGATAGATAGATAGATAGATAGATAGATAGATAGATAGATAGATAGATAGATAGAGATTATCGCCGGTATTCTAAAAGCTCACGTTGAATCGGCAATAATCAACCATGGGCCATATCGACTGGCACCAAAGTTTGCACACCTGGAGGTTCCACAACAAGAATGGTTTTCAAAAAGCACTGCTCAAAAGGAGTCTAGCGTGGCGAAATTTCATAACGCTAAGATGTCTAGGGAAGGAGCCCAAATTGGTGAAGCACCCCAAACGCAGCGAACAGATCAAATTGAATCGCGAGTTCAGCTGACAGTTGATCTACAGACTCAAGGAATTACAAGCGTGAGCCCAACAACTCTGCAATATATAACGAAGAAGGCAGAAACTATTTTGAACAAAGATACTGCAATCGTGCAGGCACCTGGATCGGTTTATGGT